AAAGTAAATCATAAGCAAATTTATAGCAATTTTCCAGGCAAATTTGCCTGGAATTGCCTACAGTTTAAGAGATAAGAAAAAAAAGTAAACTTGTCTATATACTAAAAATTTTTAAAGTGTAAATTTTGTTTTTAACTTTGACAAACTTTTTATATTTTAATTTCTACCCTCTATAATCTTAATACAAAATATAAAATTAGTTTTAATAAACAACTTTAATTAGTAAAATTTTTAAACTTTATAAATAAAATATTAACTTTAATTAGTAACAAACCTCTTTTTTTGAAGTCGAAAACAAAATATTTTTAATAATATTAAAATTAAATTGCAAATTTTATAAAAGAATAACTAATTATAATTCAAATTTTTATTTTAGCTTAGAAATAGGGAGTTAAGCATAATAAAAATTTCTGTAAATACAAAATTACAAACAAAAAAAAATTTTAGCAGGCAAATTTGCCCACATTACAGTTTAAGAGATAGAACTATCAAAAAAATAATTGTTATAGCTGATGGCTGATGCTAAAATTTTTTCATATTTTATTATAAAATTATAAAAAATTTTTGGGCCTATTTTTTACACTTTTTTTTTATAGTTAGGTTAGGGTTAGTAGAGTAGTTTTACTAATAAAAAAGTATATATGAATTTTAGTAGGTATTATAGATTTAAATAGAGACCCCAAATTTCAGCATCAGCCATTTTTAGCATTAGCTATGACAATAATTAATTCTGCATAGCTTATTAAATTTGCCCAATACATTTCTTGTTTAGTTTTTTAGAGGTTCAGCCTAAATAAAACAAAGCATATACTTATATTGTGAAGCCTACAATTACTTGCAAGTACAAAATTTGTAAATTCAATATTTACTATAAAGTTCTGAATATAAGCAACCCTCTAAGCTATCCATTTTGGCTGATTTTTAGGAGGGTTGCTTAATTTCAGCAACTTTTGAAATACTTACTTAATTCTATTAGCCAAATATTAATAAAAATTACTCTTAATTTTATTTTGCTTATAGGGTTGCTTATTTTACTTTTTTTATATTTTGGTGTTAAAATCTAAGAAGTTGCTTATTTTCGGGGTTGCTGATATTCGGTTGGGATTTTATAGTAATTAAGGATGCTGTTTAAACAGATTATATTTAAAAAAACAGTTTGGCCATTACTGGAATCAAACCAGAGATATCAAAGTCTTATCATAAGACTTAGAATCCATACAAATTAATTTCTTGGCTGGCCGGTCTAAAAATCCAAAATCGGAATCTTTAAATTTTTTTTAAATTTAGCCGCCTTAGATAATCGACCAGTAAGAATATATTGTTAAATTATAATATTATCAATGATGTTCTATAGAATAGGTGGGAAATATAAGAAATAAGCTTCGTTAATGATTATTAATCATTAATAGATACTTTGCGGAGTTTGCGCTCCTATTCCCCATATTTTTGATGTCACATCTTTTTGCAAAGCGCAATAATTTTAAATGATTAGTAGTGTTAATAATCGATTTAGCTATCGCTATCAATTTTTAATCTTAATAGATAATGTGATAGAGTGATTGTGATCGACTATAATTTATTAATTGTGATAAGTATAAATTTCCATCAATTTCTATTGACAGTTATGATAACTATTAACCATTATCGTTATCTATAGGGCGTTACGTATAATCGATTAACAACTCTAAATATATAGCAATCATTTCCCTTAATTTATTTTATGTTAAATTCTTTTTTAGAAAATTACTACATATCACCAGTGGTGATCATCACCACTCCTAAGATTTTTAGGGTTAAGGTGGAATTATTTTTTTTTATATAATATAATGGATTAGATATAAGGTCCCGATGAGTATCCGATCCCGTTTACTTATTTGTGATGATCAGTGGTGGTAAATAGCAAACTTCTTATTTTTATATGTAATACATAAAATTTGTTATTATGCATAGTAATTTAAAAGGTATAATAATATTATATTTTATGTAGATATACATAGTGTTGTTTTTATAAACCACTCTTGGTCTTGTTCGAAAAAACTAAAAATTCTAATGATTGATTTTTAAATAAAAGGAGTTTGGTTACTTTTAGTGTATTAAAACAAAATCCAAATTTATTTGTGTACATCTGCTTAGATCTAGAATATTATGCAACACGATAAGAATCAAGATTAAAAATCCTTCGAAAATCTGTCAAAACATGTGAAAGTATGGCTGTGGGTGTTAAAAAAATTATATTCCAAGTATGGATATTTTTGCTAGAATGGGTTCGCTATAAAACAAATAATATTTTACGTACTATTTCCAGTTTACAATCGTGTTTGTTATTAAATGGCTAATATGAATTTATTATTAATATATATAGTTAAATTGTGATTTATTTTTGTATAATTAATTTATGTCTGGCATGCTCTGGGGTATTATAGGTAGGTCGTACCATCAGAACTATTGTGCATTTTTCCTTGTTAATACCAGAGCCAGTGGATTTTAATAGTAGCACTAGCAATATCACGACAACCACATAAACAAATCTGACCGAAATTGTTTTACTTTAATTCTATATATTTATAGAATTAAAATAAAACAATTTCGGTCAGATTTGTTTATGTGGTTGTCGTGATATTTCTAGTGCTACTTTTACTACTATTAAAATCCACTGGCTCTGGTTAATACCCCTTAACATAGTATCCCAGGGTACTATTCAAGGCTGGAATTATTCGCACTAATTTATACATTTTTTTTTTTTTAAAGTGATTAGTGATAGGGTTAGTGTTAGTTTATTTTGTGTTATATTTTTGATTCATGTAACACCTGATCATGTCTTCTGATTTGCCCGAATCAGAAACTTTAGAACTTAGGGAATGCGGTACAGTACTGTATATATATACTAATATACAGTTCATTAATTGTCTAACGTTAATTGTCTACATGGTATTTTGGGGTTCATTAATTGTCTACGTAGTTAAGTTTATTAATTGCCTTTCCAGCCCGAAATTAGAACACTATCATTAATAGCTTAATAGCTAAATTAAAAAAATTGATCAGAGTGTTACACTTGTTACACTAATTACGACATTTTTTAAAAATCTTATTTAAATCTTTAATTCTGTAATTCTGAATTCACACGATTTCTTTTTTGTTAAGATTTTTTTTGGTTCGTTTAAAATGAGTTCGCTTAATATTATATCCAATGCCTCCAATCCCTTTACGCCCTTAACTCCGACGCCCAGGTCGTACATCACAAAGCTCCGTCATATGCATATTCTTGATACGTTGGCTTTTGACGCGTTGAAAGCAAGAATTGCGGTTTTTCAACTACTTCTTTCTCAGAATAATCCAAGTGACGATTCATTAAGTGCTTTTAAAAAGCAGGCAAAAAAAGCATGGGAGCAGTTTGAAAGTATGAATGTTTTCAAGTGCTTAATTTTTCTCGTTCTTGCTAAAATTGCATATTAGGTAATGCGGCACTAAACTAACATATTTTATTTTTTTAGGTGCCAAGCACAATTTGCTGACTAACGATCTTTTTATAGAAATATCGAATTTTGATATCTTCATGAAAGATCTTGTTAGTTCAATAGTACATCGTTGCAATCTTGCAACCTTTTCTCATATAATGTTTCAACAATTGATTCCATCTCTTGAAAGTCTTTATATTACAGCGGATTCATTTAAATATATTATACCCGATAACTGGAATTTTATTGAATGGGAACTATATCTGGACCTTAAAACACAAGTTAGTATTTATTAATGTTTTTTCAAATCATAATACACATAACTAATTTTCTTTAAATTATATATAATAGTTATACATCCGTGCATCAAGCGTATCCAATGACAATTATTTGGATAAGATTTTCCCGCTTAATGCTGAACAACCGTCAAGTCGTCTTACCCAATATTTAGAAAGGAGAGATGCGGTATTTAATGATAGTCTGGAGGTTTTTTTAATTGAGTATTAAGAGTGCATATATAATTAATTTTTTTTCAAACCCTCAAGTTGGCAAATAATGATTCCATCATTTTACCTTCAAAATATCCTCGCAAAACGTTTATGAGTAATATTTTTGATTATATATGTAATCTTTCGGAGAAATTTGATCTCCCAATAATTGTTTTGGTAAGCTGATTAATTATTATTTATTAATTAATTAATTGATTGATTAATTAATTTAATCGTAATTTTATGATGTGATTACTTTATATGTTGTATCTGAAATTAGGAGACTAAAGAAGCTCTAAGTTCTCAAATGGAGTACAGCCGCGAAAGTTCACAAATTACAACGCAGGATCAAAACATTGAGAATGATTATGGTACTCCTCTTATCGATTCAGATGGTTTATTAAGGCCAACGTATTTATCCTCTTTTTTAATATTATTTTGATGTTTGCTGAAAAAAAATGTAATTCATATGACTTATTACTTTACTATTCATGTTATAAGTTTCCGGGCAAATAAGTATGTTGAATCATTTCGTAGATTCCATAAATACTCTGAGCAAGAATTAAACCAACAATTAGAACAACTTAAAAATCGGTAAATTTATTTTAGCTTAAGATAATTGTTGAATTTTTTTTTTTTTTTTACAATTATAAACAAGTTAATATTATTTCTTTTTCAAGTGCGAATGATGATCACGAAATTACAGTTCAATCAGCTGACATAGAGATGGATGATTTTACGTCAATGGATCCATTAACTGGCTCGTCATCCAATGTTATAAATAACAAGAACACACCAAAATCAAAAGCAGTTGTTGAGATTGTTGATAGACAATCGTCGATAATTACAGATCCTGGGTCACCGGAAGTTCTACAAGACGATGAGGTGGTAATTGAATCAGAAAACAGGAAAAATTCTCCTAAAAAACGAAAATCAGGGCAGGCACGACAAGGTGGTTGGACTCAAAGAGAACTAAATTTCCTGATTAAAGGAATGGAAAAGTATGGAACTAGTTGGTCTAAAATAGAACGAAAATATGGAAATCCTGAAGGTCCGCTAAGCAGACGAACCCAAGTGAACATGAAAGACAAAGCTCGATCAGAATTAGATCGACGATTAAGGTGTGGATTGCCATCAGGTGTATTTAGTCTAGTAAAGTAAGAAAAAGTGATGCGATTTAGTTTTATAAGTTATTTTTGATATATAAAAAAAAAATTATTGCTAATGATTTTAAAATTAGTGCGCACGCTAAAACTTCTTCAAAAAGAGCGAGGATAACTCCGCAAGAAGATAATGAAGAGAATGAGTAGTAGAATTTATTCATTTGAATAATCTTAGACATTTAAATTAGGTTATATGTAATTATTTCTACAGGAGAATTGGTAGAAGAATTTATTCATTTTAATAATATTACGTTTTATTTTGGACGTTTGGATTAATTGGAAAAGGTTAAAATAAATGTTGCATTTAATTAGATTGCTTAGCATAAATGACTCATTTCCTTAGTTAATACTTTTATCGACTGCATATTACACGTATTAATAAAAACCTAATCCACAAAAATCAACGTTTCACGTTCGTTGTCCCCGGTTAACGTGATTAAACAGACCAATTAACCATGAAAAAGCATTACTAAAAAATGTACTGTATATATTAGGTTACTAGTTTGAAAACTTTTTTAGATGGGATTGCGTACGTACGTAAGAAATCTGTGCCAGTTTTGGGGGTCGCGTACATCACGAAATTGCCCGATGATCGATGATCATCGGACAATCACGGGATATATTATTCTAAACAGCATAGAGGGCTTTCATTATGATTGGCTAATTTTTGTAGATCATTTTGTGACGTAACAAATTTTTTTTTTTTTTTTTTTTTTTTTTTTTATATTGCCAACGTAGAAACTTTATTTTATTTTTATTTTTAAAGGCTTTCCTCTAACATATATACAGTTTCTAATTACATTTGTGCTACTATTACTAGTCACCCAATGTGGCATTATA